AAAACGGTTGACCCTGCAGGTCATCCTGCAGCTCGAGGAGCTAGATTTAAGTGAAGTCATTAACGACTTCTCGTCGTAAAAAGCTCACAAAGTTCTATTCGTTAACGCCGTAATTTAGTTTTTAATATATTGTATCTAACTTGAACAAATTATTACATTTTTTGTTGAAATAATTTTATTTGCTGACATTAAATTTTTGAAAGACTTGACAGATTTTTTTTCCCGAAAATAATTAATAATTAGGACCCTCCACTTTTTTGTTGCCCCAGGGCCTTCAGATATCCAAATCCGGCCCTGATACTGATTCATTGAAATATAATTCACTAGGAGATATTTTTGATGTTTATAGGCGATTTTAACAGAAAATCCAAGTTTGCAGTGTTGGAAAATCACAGATATGATTATGACGTTGATATTCAATTCTAGTATATATTTCCAAGGAAAAAGGGGTTTTAACGATTAGCTACCAGGAGTTGTGAAAATCTACGTCAATGTAACTGTTCTTGAAAATTCACCAAGTTATTTCAGAAACTATTCATTGTGAGATTTTCTATAGACAGTTTACAAAACAGCGAAACTTTTTTGCTATACAATAGCTTCCTAAAGTATTTTCATAATGACTTGATTTTTACCAGTCTATGCTTAATGTAGGTAATAAAATTTTGAATTATGTGACCTTCTTGCTAGGTAATGGCTAATAACTTTACCCGAGTTGTTAAAACTGATTGAAAATGTAGCTAACTACCAATTTCCACATTAGAAAACAGATTCAGAGGAGGAGATTAATTCAATTGTATTTGGTCGTTCAGTGAATCATTGAAGTTCTCAAATCTATTAATTTCTATGTACTCCAAAAATTCAGTTTCATACCTTACCCTTCCAAGTGTAATACTTCATACTCGTGGTTCCCCATCTGTCATAAGATGGTTTACAAATGTGGAATTGGTCTTCACATATTTTGAAAACAGACAAATCGCAATTTCTCCACAAGAATTTTATAGAATTCATAGAAAATATATAAATATTAAAGTATAATCAGAATAAAATGCATGAAAATGAGACTACGCGTTAACAAGTACAGAAATGTACGATATTTTCCAAATTTTCCGAATACAGAAATGAGATTTTGTATTTCGAATATTATTCCGTTGCTCTACAAGTATCACGCCATTCGGCTATGCTTTTATTTTGTATGTATTTTGATATTTTTATGATATATGAGATGATAACATATTCAAATTGAAAGTTTTATCGTTTCAGACATTTCCAGTTTCCAAGCGTTTTTCAATTATATAGACATGAGAGCACTATTGGAAAACTTTTGCGTGTATCATGTCAATGCCCCAGGACAGGAAGAAGGAGCCCACACCCTTCCTGAAGAGTAAGTATTTTGATCGAATTCTGTGAACAGAATCAACACAGCTCAATCTGCATTCAGGTTTTGAATAAGAAAATTTGCATAAAAGTTTGTGAAAGAAACTATTAAGTGTTTTAATTGGGTTTGAACGATTCTTTACTATATAAAAATTTCGTTTTCCAAGAAATTTCACATATTCATAGAAAGAAATTGAATTAATAGGAACAACAAGAAGTAATTAAATGAGTTATAAAAATTAATGACCATCTAAATGCGGCTAATATAATTCAAACATCATCATTAAGAGAGGAAAAAGTGCCAATTAACCCATGGTGATAAAAAAATTTCATTAAAAGTTCCAGAATTTATCATATTTTTTTGATGTATGCAATCTTTTCTATAATATTATTACTGAATGATAAATTGACCGTTGCGTTGCGTTACTCGTATCAGTAACTGATCTAGAGAATAGTAATAGTAATAATAATAATGACAGAATGGTGCGGGATACAGCCTGTAAAGTCGTCAGGAGTTCGGATCCCCTTCTCTGCATGATACGTTACCACGAGAGAGCAGGAAATGGAGCATGGAGTTGGAACCTGTTCAGCAAAAAGCTCAGATAAAAGCCGCAGGATTACCTTACTTCTGCGGAAACACAAGGATAAGCCAATGCATGGGGTCTTCTTCAATAACATTGGAGACCTTGGCTTATCAAAGCGCTTGACCTTCGCTTTTCTCTGTTGAGTGGGCTGAAGTCGGAAACTGAGGGGTTCATCATGGCTTGCCAGGATCGTGTCTTCAACACCTTAGTCTACCGCAGTCGCCTGATGGGTATAGAGGTTCCTGACACAAGGTGTAGGGCCTGCAGCGAGGCGCCCGAAACCCTAATGCACTTGCTATCAGCATGTCCAGCATATGCGGTCTCGGCCTATATCCATCGACATAACGCTGCCCTAAGAGTGCTATATTACCATCTACGGCACTCTTACGGTATTGACGAGACACCGGTGTTGCCCTATGATCCGGGGGATATTGAATCCGTGGTGGGGAACGAGAAGTGCCGAATTTATTGGAACTATTCGTTCCCCACCGTCAGGCTCATACAAGCTAATAAGCCTGATGTGATCCTTCTCGACCACTAGAGCAAAACGATTCTTGTCGTGGAATTTTCAGCTCCTGGCGAGACGAATATCATCAGAAAAGAGGAGGAGAAACGGATAAAATATCGAGATTTTCTCTTCGAACTCCGCAGACTCTATCCAGATCACTCTGTTAAGATGGTTGTTCTGATTATTAGAGTCCTTCTTTTGGTGGAATGATGTCCTCTCTACTCCCGAATCTTGAAATCATACCGGTTTGCCGCACTAAGGCAGTAATCTTAGCCGCACAGATGCAGAAAGCTGTCATTCTTGGCTCACTGCGCTTGCTCAGGGCACATGATTCTCGGACCGAATGATCACTTACCACACGGTGTGGGGAGTGGTCATTGGTTGATAATGCTGGCGCGCCCTCACGAATGTATCGGGGCTTCGGGGGATAGGGCCTGACCAGCACACACTACGGTGAAAAAAAAATTATTATTTACCATTTAATGAAACTTACAATGTGAAAAAACATATAAGTAATTATAATATTACATTATCATCAGTAAATTTATCAGTTAGGCAAATAAATAAAGAAAACCCACACATACATCCAATGACATATATACACACACCCCCCTATGTATACAGTGAATTCGTACAAAATTACAACTATATACTTATAATCAAGTATTTTTATATCGATCCAGTGATGAATATTTACTCTGGGAGTTTGTTTTAACCATTTTTTGATTCTAGATTTGAAGAAAGTGAGGGCTGTATTCTATAGAGTTGGAATACTTATCATTACTTGAAATAGAAGTATAAAAGAACCTCAAATTTGTGACAGTCATAATAATCGGGAAGCATACTGTAATTAACGTTCCAAGAATTATTTGGTTTAACTCCATGTTAACAAAAAGATAAACATTTCAATATTGTCTGATGATATATCTAAAGATGGCAAATTGAGAAATAAAACTTCCTTTGTTTTTATACCACTTCTATTTGTAACTAACGTTACTGTAATTTTGTCATTACAGGACATTTTCAAACGAATAATAATAAATTACCTCTCTTGAAGATGTCGAAAAAAAAAGTATTGGAAGGTTATAATGAATAAACTGCCCATTTCTTGTGTACAATAAAGTTGTTCCTTTTTCATGAAGGTCTACAGAAAAGTTCCCGATAGCATATCCTCATCTCATCCTATAGGAGGCTGGGGCGAGTCGCCAGTTGATTATATTTTTCACATACCAATATCAAGAACTTCCAAAATGGATTTTAAACTTCAGTGACCTCTGGCGTAGAATAAATCCAAAACAAGCACTTTTCAATTATAGTTTATCTGAAGATGACAACTTGGTTGGCAAAACGCGCGTCGAATAGAGTATTGCAGTTCTGGTATTTAGGAAAAGTGCTTCTTTCAGATGATATATTAATATTTGAAAAAACAACTTCCCAAGTTACTACTGTTCATATTTTCCGATGGATCATTTCCTAATTAGAAACACACTTATTGTTTGTTAAATGGCCTATTCTTCTATACATTCTTTATAAAAGGATATAAAATTTGTCTAGATCTGTTAATAGAAAATTAAAAAAATCAAATTTTCAAATATTAACGACGAACAAGGTCGCGAAACAGACTTTTGCAATGAGCAGCGGACTTACTCTGATTATAAATGAGCCAACCAGGATTCCTGACCTTGATGGAGAATACGCTAGTCTTCTGGATTTATACCTGACAACCAATCCAGAAGTTTACACAGTCACCGTGAGATGTCCATTGGGATCTTCTGACCACAAACTCATTTCAGTGTTGAGTGAATTACCGATAAATATTGGGGAATACTCTAACTCGCGCAAAGTTTGGCATTACAGATCTGCTGAGTGGGAGGATCTTCAAGACCATTTCCGAAATTTTCCCTGGTTGGATGTTTTTTCAGCTCTAACGATCCATCAACTTGTGCTTTTGGAGTCACGGAAGTTATTCTATCGTTCATGGATGCATATTTTCCTTTTTTAATGAAACGAACTTCTATTGGCAAACCTTGATTCAAAAAAATTGCGAGCAAGCTGTCGCCTCCAAAAATCCCGCCAACCAGCAATGGCACAAAAATCCCAATGCCGAAAACCGAACTTAGTATTTTGATGTTCGCAACAGCTGTAAACTTAGGTTGAATGAAAGCAAAGAGTGAAAGCAATCAGAGAATTAGGGATAAATTGCTTGCTTATCCCAACAGGTCTAGATCCTTCTGGTCGGTAGCTAAAGCTGTTAATCAAAACTGCACTAAACCCACAATTCCATGGTTCCATTGCAACAACAGCCATAAAGAAAGCGAATCTACTAGCTAAACAATTTGCGTTCAAGTCCTTAGTCGATTTTCTGGGAAAGGCATCACCCAGTATTCCCACATTACAATCATCAATACCGGAAATTACTTTCCGACAACCTCTAGTCAGGCGAATTTTGAAGCAGCTCAATATCAACAAGTCGTCTGGTCCTGATGAAGTGCCCGTCATCGTACTTAAAAACTACGCACCAGTATTTTGCAGACTTTTCAACCTGTCTTACAAGAAGGTGGTTTTTAGTTCTTTTTGGAAAATTGCTTGCATTCAACCTATTCCCAAAAAGGGCAAGAAAAATCTTTCGAATAACTATAGACCAGTCGCTCTGCTGTCAGTGATATCAAAAATCATGGAGAAAGCCGTATACCACCATATCCTTATATATTTGGAAGCTTCAACATCTTCAGCGATCATCAATATGGCTTTCGGAAACAAAAATCAACGGGCGACCTTCTATCGTATGTCATCCATATTTGGAATAACGCAATCGAGAAACATGGAGAGTCAAGAGCTGTTGCGCTTGATATTTCTGAGGCAATTGACCGTATGTGGTATGAGGGTTTGCTGGCCAAACTTCGATTTTCTGGCTTTTCGGATCATTTTTGTGTATGACTCTCCAGCTTCCTGAAAGAACATTTCCTGCAAGTGGCCGACGATGGATATATTTTGAATACTTGATGTAAGGCTGATGTAACTAGGCTCCATTCAATGCTACAAAAACCCAGGCATCGGTTTTCTCCAAAAAGATAAATATCTCCGAACGTGATTTAATAAATAATGTCAGGACAGATAGTTCCGCTTTCTGCTTCGATTAGTTTGTTGGGATTTGAAATGAATACCAATGCGTCTTGGCACAATCATGTCGCTGAAATTGCAAAGGTTGCTTCTCAAAAGCTTGGAACATTGTTCCGAACCAGAGAACTGTACTAAGCAATTTTTGATGTTTTATCTGACCTCCTTTGGAGTATTGTTCTCATGTATGGAGCTCCGCCACTGAGCATACCCTGAAGATGCTGGAAGATGGAGATGCCTGATTGGAGACGCGAACATCACTTGCAAACTTGACAGTCAAATACTTTCACGGGAAGTGTTCAAGTGACTTGGCACATTTGATTTCACCAAGGGCGGTACATATCACAAATACGTCATGGACTGTGGCTGCTATTCATTTTGAGGTTCAACTCAGTACACCTCAAACTTCACTGTTTGAGAACTCTCCAGCGATTCAAATCCAATGTGAATCGCTACTTCTGCACAGGCACCGCTCTTAGAGCGCCTTGAGAATTTTCCTGTACTGCTTATGTTTTGTCTTTGAAAGAACCATTTGTTTCATCCTCTGGTACCCAGTTATTCGTTCACAGAAAATACAAATTTTCTCATGCCTGATCTCACATGATCAAACATGTTACTTTATGGTATTTTGAAGAAAGAATAAGGTGTCAGATTGAGACATATTCCAGGTCCATGCTAACACATCTATTTACTTTCCCAAATTGCTGACCTCTTTTGTGAAAGATAAGGTTTTGATGGACTCACATATAGGGTGCCAAACAAACACGAAACACAACTGTTATCAGGACCTGCATTAAC